TTGGAGAGAAGTAAAACAAACTATAGAACAACTAGTTTCAAAAGAAATTGCTCTGGATCCTGGTTTTTTCATTCTGGGTTTATATCCCAAAAATATTAAATATACCAAATGTGAGCAGTTATTGATCGATATATGTCTGTTACAATCTAAACGTCTAATTGCACTTTTCTGGAAGAAATCGACAGCACCAACTATCAGACACTGGGTCAGACAAATGTTGACAACTTTACCCCTGGAACGTATAACCCATCTCCTAAAAGGAAAAGGTGATCTATTTGAAAAAATATGGGGACCCTTTATGACGTTTGTGGAAGGTATGGACTTATCTGAAGACGACGAGGACAATTAAATAACACCAGCTTGGAAATCTGGTTGATATCGGAGCCTTTATTACTAGTTTGTGTCTTTTGCTGAAAAAAGTGTAAGAGTATTCAAATGCAGATGTGTATCTGAGAGGGTATTTGTGTGTTTTTCTTTTTGTTTTTTGTTTTTCTTTTTGGTATGGTTCTTGTATTTGTTTATACGGTATGTATAATGGTTGAAAATAATAAAAATATTGATGGGAAAAAAAAAAAGAACACTTTCTGAGCAGCAAGGTGGTGGTGACACCTGTAATTATCAACTGGTTTTGACCAAAAACCTTTAGATGTCTGCAAAAAAAGCTAAAATATAATAAAGGATATATTTCTCAGCATAACAGGAAAGACTTAATCCAAAAAAATCTCATTTTTAAATTAGCCTTACCAGAGACCAGAACCAAATTTTAAGAGAAAATCTGTAGGTTCATCTAAAAAAATGCTGAGACCAAGAATATCCTCACAATATTTTGGATCTGAAGAACTTTGGCAAAGCAAGTAAACATTTCAAATGCAAAATGTGGGATGATGACACGCTTATAACTGGATGCTTAAAAAAAAACAAAAAACAAAGGTGTTGGGGCAAAGTTTGAAATTTAAAGATGTATGGCATATTGAACATATGCATTTCACATATTTTTCTAAATGTGTTATTAATTCTAAAGGAAGGAAAAAGAAATGGAGCAGTCACTGTTTCCAGCTGCGGAATCTACTGGCTCAGTCACTTGGAGGTATTTCTCTTTTTGGTTATGAGATCTCCACATGTTGCCTCGCCTCCACCCCACACACACTGCATCACAGCAGCAGTCTGGGTCATTTTTCTTTTGAAGCCCCCTTTTTGCCCCCCTTTTTTATCCCCAGCAGTCCATCCATCATACAGAGTTCTTCTTTCACTAACCCCACCCCCCACCCCCAAGCTCTCTTTAACCACTTAAAAAAATGCTTGTTTGGTCCAAAAACCTTCATCGCTGGCTATTACTTTAAACTCCTCCATGGCTCTGGCTTCATTGTTTCACTCATGCATATCTTTCAGCCTCCCACCAGCCCTCATGGCTCTCTTGTTCTTCACAGACCACAACTGCAGAAAAGCATCTGGAGTTTCCCCCATCTTTCAGCTGGTTGAGACCTGAGGGCAGCGCTGCTTAGGATCAGGATTTCTGTGTGTGGATGTGTGTGTGATTCTGACTACCACCACTGTTCAAATCAAAGTTTCTGCCTTTTGTCTCCGCGCTCTGGAATCCCCTCCGTCACACCTCGGCTGCTGCTCAGTGGGGGCAGCAGCCTGTAGAAAACTTCCTCATCTACAGTTAATCCTCCTCCTGAAATACCTCCCCTGGGTTACAGGAATTCAGTTAATTAAGGGCTTTTGAGACCTTTAATCTGATGGATTAAAATTTTGCAAAGCAACAGTCAGATTTATCTCCCCTAAAAGGTTAAACATGCTTTACTCATTTTGGTGGAAAAAGAAAAACTGCAAAATGCAAGAAGGTTAGTTTTATACGCATAGAAAGAGTTGGGTTTTAAATGTGTTTTTATTATTAGAAAAATAAACGTTTGTGTGTTTTGTAGCGCCGTTATACATTTACATGCAAATTAGTTTTTAACAAATATTTTTTCTGAACAAAATTATTAAATATAAATTGTATTTGTTAATATTCGAATGGAAGACACCATTTAAGAGCAAAAATCTTAGTGATGTGGATTCCTGCTCTCAGGCAAAGCGTTTTTAGCTTCCGCAGGTTGTTAAACCCGTAAAGAGCTGTGAACTGCGGCTCTTTTCCACAAGTCCTCATTTAGGGCTTCACCCACAGAGCCATAAAACAGTTAGTGGAATCATTCAGAGGCTGTTAGATTCAACACTATTAGGAGTTCATTAGTACCTGCAGACACAGCTACTGTTGCAATTGGAGGATCATTAACATTACCCATTAAAGCAAGCCACAGGCCCTCTTCATCCACTCAAGCTGGTTTCTCCACATACAAACAGAAATGTACAGTATGGGATATTTTATCAAGAACCTCTAACTTTTGTCTTCAATATATTTTCACAATACCTAGACAATGGTATTAAAAGCTGAACAAATAAGAGATAACTGAGCTAAACAAAAGAGTGTCAGGATGCATAATTGGATTTAGAGAGATAAGTGTAATTAATTAAATTTTCACATTTCAAGAATTTATTTGCTTTCAAACTGATTTGTAAAAGAGAAAACCTACTGTGATTTTTTTTGCTCTGTATCTTTAAGGGTTAGAAGTAATAACTAACCATGTGATAAGTTCACACTAGTAATTGAATGAACAAAAAAAAAACTTAAAAACGAGAGATAAATGCAAATACTTAATGTTATTTGTTAGAATAAAATATTGATTGGGAATGAAAAAAAAAAATCCAGACAAATTCAATTGTTTTGTTTTTGTTGTTGTTGTGGTAGGTTTTTATCAAAGAGTCTCTGGTTCTTTTTAATCCATCATCTGAAAATGGAAACTAGTATGGCAGAGGTGCTAACCCTCTGAAACATGGCTGTCCACCAGAGGTTACAGGATGAAAAAGAAACTTTAATTAGAGAAGTAGCCAAGAGGACAACAGTAACTCTAGAGAAAGTGCAGAGATCCATAGCACAGGTGGAAGTTTGAGCTGTAAGGGCGACCAGTTGTTTACTTTACATATCTCATCTTTATAGAATGTAGTAGGAAGAAATAAATTAATACAGCAAGCCTTAAGAAGTCAGGCTGGCATTTTGCTAAAGAAAAACAGACAAGGAAGGTGCTCTGAGCAGGCAAGCAATCTAATTTCAGTTGCTCATGCTTAAGGTCATGCCTGGAAGATATCACTATTACACAGAATGTACTGTCCTAATTGCAGAACATGGAGGTGGAAGCATCATGCTCTGGGGAGATTTTTTTTAATCAGGGACTATAAGAAGGTGATAAATGATGGGAGAAAGGATCCCTCCTAAAGGAAAATATGCTTTAGGCTGCAAAAGACCGTGGGCTGGTACGGAGGTTCCCCTTCTAGCAGGACAGGGACCATAAACATATAGGTGACAGAAAGAGAGTAGTTTAGTTTAAAGCATATTAATGTGTTAGAACACCCTAGTCAAAGTTTAGACGCAAATCCATTTTTGTGCCAAGACTTAATAGAAGGTACAATTTTGGAATTACTTTGTTTTGGTTTGTACCACTGACCCCCATTCAAATACATAGGAGTTATTAAGACCATATATGAATATTATAAAAAAATGTACATAAAAAATAGATTATTGCTAGAATCATTGATGGACACAAATAAAAAGACCATCAACTCTGAACTAAACTCCCACATGGGATAATTATAGGTAATCTAGCAACCATTTTGGACTTTGTTGGCTGGACCACGCCATCTACACATTTTGTGCATGATCAAAGAAGGAAAATGAGTCACAGTGCTCCCTGGTCCACTTTCTGTTTGCAGGAGCTCATGGGTCAAAAGGTCCTGATGGGGTGAAGGTTTAGGTTGTGTTTGGAAAAGGCCTCGGAGCTCTTCGGCAAACAAGAGCTCCAAATCAAACATCAAAGCCAGAGTTGGTGTGAAGGCTGGAGTGCTGTGAGCTCAGAGGGTGGAGGGGCTCCTGACAGGTCTGCAGGAAAGATAACAGAGCAGGAAGCCCCCCTAACATCTAACCTCCTGTGTTCTTTCAAAATCCCCAGATAACCCCTCTCCCCATCTACTAAATCCTAACCTCCATGACACCGAGTTCTGCTGGACAAGCCCAGCGTCTGACCCCACTTAATCACATGCTGAACCTTTCCCTCGTGATAATCCTCCCTGCCAACTGACAGAAAGGGTCCGCTGAGTAAGCCGACCAGTAAGTCGGAAGAGGGAGCACAAAGTTTAGGGGGAGCTTAATTGAAGCGTTGAATATTTTCCTTTGTTCATTCAAGTGGGCCGGTAATCTATGAAGGGTCTGGTGAGCAGTTTTCCTTCACTTTCAAATCTGGGAAATAAGACCCCAACTCCCCTGTTTTCACCAAACATTATCTATATTTTTGAGACTAAACCGTTTTTTCTTCATATGTCTGCTTCCTGTCTGTTTTGCTGAGTTTAGTCGAAACTGCTTGTACAGCTTGTAAACATGTGTTCAGATGTGTTTATTGACTGAAATGCAGTCTGGAGATCAGAGTCACTTGACCCTGGAATTTAATTGGATGAGCTGGAAGAAAAAAAAAAGATTTCCTGGGAAGCATGGTGAAAGAGCTCAATGACACACTGCTGCCCCCATGAGGAACAATTGATGTACTACAGCCAAATACTGTCAAAGTAAGTTAGAGGTGTAGTAGATCTGATTATATATGAAGACAATATTACAGTAAATAAACTGTGTCGATCACACAATTCAGAGCTTTAAATAAAGCTACAGTTTATGTGTTGGGGTCAATGGTGCCAAAAACAGCTTCTGAAATCGTATCCACGGGGCTCTGTCACATTTCAGGGAATGAGTAACTGAAGGAAGGACTGCTTGTTTTAAATTTAGTGTCCAATGGTGCAGAGTGCCCTGCCTGACTGACGTATCTTCTGGCCACTGATCCGATTGTTCGTAGAGGGTCAGAGTGGAGGAGGATAGACAGGCAGAAAGTGCGCAGAGACACAGTCCTGAAAGCCAAGATAGAAGGTTTCTTTGAGTCCTAAAGGAAGAAATAAGAGGCAGTAGCAGCTCAGTAGACAGGAGAGACTGTGCTTTTTCTTCTTCTCTCTGCAAACATGTCTGACTGTGAGGGACCACCCATGGGTAAGAGTAGCTAAAATGATTATTCTTCAATGGTCAACCTATGTTTAAGACAGACGTCTGAAGCAAACATTGGGCATGCATGTCTGTAAATTGTTTGGGTTTGTGTTCCCGCATTGTGTATGTGTGTTTTCTGTTCCTGTGTGTATTTTTGGAGACTGTTTCTGTGTTGATCCATCCTGTTTTAGTCCCCACTGAGATGCCTCACCCAACAAGGAGTCTGTTCATTCTGAGGCCTTATATGGAAACCAGAGCAGATTCCTTCTGCTCTGCCCCTCAGATGTTTCATCCTCAGATGTCCAGATAAAAAGTTATTAAAAATCTTTTCCTGTTTCTGCAGAAATTGGGCGCAGTGCTGCAGGAACTTAGGGTACAAAGTTGCACTGGGTGAATGTGGAGGTTCTTCTGGTGGGTGTGAGAGCTTTGGTGGGGTTTTCTGTGTGGCACGATGAAGCATTAAGCGGTGGGTCATTTTCTGCAAGAGCAGCCAGGCTGAGAAAGAAAAATAAGTCTTTCTGATGTCTGGCATTCTCAATAACAGTCACAGTCAGTTATAAATAGAACCCTTTTTCTTCTTTCCCTCCATCACTTATTGATGTTTCCTTCTTGCCTGCGTCTCTCAGCTTTTCTTTCCTTTATTTTTTTTTTACCTCTCTAATGCATCCCTCTCTTGTGAACATAATTCTGGAGTTTGATGGCTCTTTGATGTTGTTGACCACACAGGGATTCTTGTAATTGTGTCTGCCGCATGACTTGTTATCATCTGATTGTCCTTCCTTATCGTATACTATCATTCCATCATGCATTTGCCAGGAAATTACTCAACTTTATCAAGGCTGATACAATCTAAACGGCTGAAACATTCACATCTCTTAGCCTGCTCTTGCATTCATCCTCTTAGTGTGCAGTCCTTAAGGTTTATGAGTAACATTAGTTACAACTGTGTGACATTACCTTAAGTTTAAAAGGTTTTTCTTATCTAATTTGTTATGTTTAGTAAATCTTAGCTTCATACGGCAGAGTGTTTTATACTTTATGCTAGACGATAAACGTCTTGTAAACAGCAAATTTATCATGATCATGTTTACATTTTTCCGTGTCAGCTGTGTTTGACCTTGTAGCTATCAGTGTTTATATTCATTCTGATGTCCAACATGGAGAAACAAAAGCACGAGCAGAGAGCTGCGAAACAAAGATGAATGTTACACAATGTATAACACAATGGCCACCCAAGAAGTAAATAGGCAAAAGAATGTCGACACCGTTATGTATGTTGAATTTCTGGGTAAGGATGAGGAAGTTAGGAGAAGTTTTCTCTGAGCAGCAGACAGGCACAGACTGATACCTGGACAAGTTATTTAAAAGCGCTCTTGGGGAAAAAATTCAAGTTTAAAAAGAAAACTAATTGTGATATTTTGACAGCATTAGGATGTTTTTTTTTTTTTATCTGACCAACACTGATACTCTCATATGCAAATAAGACATAAGACATAACAGTGGTTGAGAAGCAGCTGTGAATGGCAGCAGCTAAAAATCTTAAACATGTTTTCTATTTTATCAAAATAAGACTTAGCCTTCCCTACACTAATGAAGGAGGAAAAATGGCTCCACACTCTGCAACAAGATGGTTAGTCTAAGTGTATTTAGTCTGTCCACAGTTAGCTTTCTGCTGAAATGTTTGGTCCTAAAAGGTTGCAGCATGTGGAAGGTGGAAGAGAGGTTAAAACACATTTATACAGTCTGTATTAATTTTCCTCTTAGTAACAGGGAAAATAATTATGGTTGTTTAAACTTAATGTGTTGGAAGAACACTTACAGAAGATATTTATTAGAGGTGTTTGTATTTAATATCAGCGTTGTAAATAAGGATGAAGTCTACTTATTTAGAGGTGTACGAAGCTAAAGAAAGATCTGCTGTTTGATATTATGTGCCACCAACTTTAGCACACAGTTAACAATCTGAGCTATAGTGAGGCAGTGTTTAAATCTTCAATGCATGTTTGGTGGAGCTTAGCTCTGCTCACACACATCCATCTTTGCATGAGCTTAGCTCCGCCTTTGACTTGTGCTCTGAGCTCAGCCTTATTGCTCTATCAGCATCATCTGTGTGCTCGGTTGTCTCTGCCGACGAGACTTTATAAACTATATGTTGCAGAACAACATCATCTGTGAAGAGTAAAAATGGTTTTGCATTCTTTCCGGATTTTATTTCGTCCAGCTTACGTGAAGTGATGCAAAACTTTCTTTCCTTTCTACCAAAAGAATCTCTATTTTATTTTCAGTTTTATTTATTTTTATTTTTTTGGATAAACATTCAGAGGCAAATATAGACCTTCTGAATATTTCTCTCTCATGTTTTCTCTCTTTTTATCCACCCAATTAGGATCTCAATATTTCCTTGTATTTTCACATTTTGTGAAAATACAAATTCCTGCAATTATTTTGACATTTAAGTTCTGGATTGTCACTATAAGGAAGTTTTGGAGGTTGTCCTTATTAGTAATATGATCGTCTTAAATCTGAATGAGGGGACAAAGAAAATTTTGTTGGTGACTTTGGTGAAATGGTTACAACTATAAGCATAGGTTTTGTTAACCAAGAGGAAAAATTACTGCTAATCTTTTCATTATTTTTTAACAAAAACTGCCGTAGGTGTTGCAACAGTCTTAGTATAGCAAAAAAAGAACAAAAGAAAAACATGACAAACAAACCAAAAAATAAACCTGGTAAGTTTTATTACCAAAATATAAAAAAAAAAAAAAAAAAAAAAAAAAAAAGTCTGTTCCATCTTCTAAAGCGCATGAATAATTGGTGACAAAATATTTATCATGAAACAATTTAAAAATAGATTGAAAAATGTTGGAATTAAAAAAATATATTCTAAAGATAAAAATTATCCATGCATTTTTAATTTGGATTAATTATAAGATATTAGTCATCCCTGACCCTTTATTTGATTTTTTAAATATTTTCTTGAACAATGAAAATCGAATGATAAAAGGGTTTAAATATAGAATTCAAAAGAATAATTTAACTGTTTAATAAAGGTTATATTGGTCTATATCTAATCAAATCTAATCTTTTAAAATTCAATTCAGTTTATTTCTATAGCGCCAAATTCACAACACATGTCATCTCAAGGCACTTTACAGTTCAACCAGATCATACAGTCAAATTGATACAGAGGACGAAGAGAGCACATCCACTCAGTCACGGTCAGAGAAACAGGACCACAGTGGAAAACAGGCCAATCTCCAGCATCTATAAACAAGGGTGTTGTTGGAAGCAGCACAGCTGATGTTTCTCTCCAGGATGGTGTCACAGCCAAACAGGAACAGACGAGGCAAAGCTACTCTGAGGAAAAGCAGAGAGAGTATAACGTTAGAGATTGAACTAACAGATTCTGCAAAATAGGAGAATAGAGAGAGAATGAAGCAGAATGATGAAATGGGGGCCCCTATGTCCTCCAAAAGTCTAAACCTATAGCAGCATAACTATAGAGATAGCTCAGGATAACCTGAGCCACCCTAACTATAAGCTTTATCAAAAAGGAAAGTTTATTATTATTATTATTATTATTATTATTATTATTACTATTATTATTATTATGTATCGGTCTCATTATATTTGCATAATGCATGAAGAAAAATAAAATCAGGTGCGCAAAAATAACATAACCCCAATAAAAATATGTTGGTTAGTGTTCCATGGTAAAGTTAGTTTAGTAAACACAGGTGCTGCTACCCATAAACTTCATGCTAGCACTAGTGGCTAATGATGATTTCTTTGTAGCCTACACTGAGTGCATCCTCTCTGACAGGATTTCTAATGGTTCATCATTTTGTCATTGGCATCATTTTTTTACACAATGAATGCACAGTAGTCCAATGTTACCCTACAGTATCTGGAAGACTGAATAGATCTGATGAGCAACTTACAATAACTTCTTATGATGATATAACATGATAATATGTGTGATTGACTGTGACCTCTCTCTCGCTCGCTCTCTCTCTCTCTCTCTCTCTCTCTCTCTCTCTTTCAACAATCTAAGAATTGTTGCTGTGCTGTGGTGGAGTTTACATTTTACAGTGTTATATATATATATATATATATATATATATATATATATATATATATATATATATATATATATATATATATATATATATATATTATCGTTAAGAATTTAAAACTTTTATCATCACTGTTTCACACAGGACACTAATTAACACCTGTAAAACAATGCTCTTTATTCTTAGATCAGCACATCTGTTGTATGTAGAGACCAGTGGTCACTTTTAGGTTGTGTTTGGCAGAAATAGATCTTTTGGTGAATGAAGTGGAGAAATAAAAAAAATGGCTTAACTCTTGCTGGGATTATTCAAACTGATGGATAATTTCACAGAATGATTTTTTCCTATTAGTTCCTCGTAGCTGGTTACCAGAAACCTGTGAGCGCTTAACTGTTGAAACTGTAAAAAACAAAGAAATCCTAAAAAATCTGAATAAGCACATCTCCATGGTGTCCATTAGATTTAATGTGGGAAATAAATGAATGCATTTTTATTATATCAACTGAAATGTATAACCTTTTTTTGTTTGTTTATAATTATTTTGCAGTGTTTCCCGATCTCTCTTAAATCTGAGTATTTTAACTGAAATAATCTGAACTATGGCAAAATCCAAAGCTGTATTACATAAAGTAACATTTTCATATTCGCTCAGCATCATTTTGTTAAACACAATAATCAAGTTATACTTAACCTGATGTGTGGAGGTTTGGGGATTAACATGCAAAACATATACACTGTCTTTGTATTTATTCATATCACAAAAAAAGTTGCTGAAACTATAAACAATACAAGACACAGTGGTCCTTCTAAATCCCTTTTTCTAAAGTGTAACTTATTCAAATTTCATGATTTAGTAGATTGAAATTTTCCAGGTTTTGTATGATTTAGGTAAATATTGCCAGTGAACATCCAGGAAAGATTTAAGAAAAA